TTTTTTTTTTTTTTTTCAGGCACCTCTCTCCAAATCTCTGCGTTTTTACACGGTTTAATGTAAATTTGCACGGGCTTGAAAACACCGGAGAGGAACACTCCACCCAAGACTTCCAGCAAAATAGAGTTTCAATCATTCTGAAGGGCAGCCGTGGCTTTCTTTCCATGTTTAAAACTGAAATTCAGAATCAAACTGTGATTGTTTACTGGGGATCTGTTCAACAACAAAAGCCAAAAGTCTTGTTTCACAAAAATTTATGCATTAAATTTACTGAAAAACGCATCACGCTTTTTACATGAAAAGTAGACCACTCAGAGGTGAGAAATTCATTTCTTGTTTTAGTTAAAATCATATCATTTGAAATTTGGCTAACTTTACATGAGTTTCTTTAAATTCATTTATGCTTCTCCAAATGTTTGGGGACAAGCCAATAATATTTTTGTTGTGTCAGAACCAAAACTTTGCAAGTTACTTTTTGTATTTTACAAAGCTCCCTACATTTGACTATTAAATAGTATTCCATTTATACCTGGTTGAAGGTTTTTTTTCAGCATCTACAGCTTCTATGCAAAATCAGATATGAGAATCTTTATGACTGCTTCTGGTAGTGTTGCTAACATTAGAATCAATGGAAAATTTAGTGCTGAGGATGTAGCTCAGTGGCAGAGCCCTTGCCTGACATGGGTCAGGCCCTGGGTTTTGATCTTCAGCACCACAGAAATGCAGAGACAAAAAACCCTTTTGACAGTCAGAATGCAATTAAAATTTTATAATCTCATTGTAGGGAAAAATGAATTCTATGCTAATATTACCCCCAAATGGGCTACTAACCTTACAGTATGATAGAAGAAAGCAGATGATTGTAATCAGAGGTGCTGTTTTCTCTTTTGGTGAAAGCCACAGTATAGTTCAATGATTTGATACAAAAAGCTATAATTGCCATTTATAAAAGGATTACATTGCCTACTGGGAACCAGACAGGTTCAGTCCCATGGAAGTACATCCCATTCTTGCCTGAAATCATATTGTGAAAGAGACAAATCTGACATTTATCCACACAATGCTTAATTCTTAATTGGAACCTCTAAGAATCTACCCCAGGAATGTGGAAACAGGTGTAGGTCAGTAGCCTTGCAGGACGCATTTTTCGGTTTTCCTCATTTACATGTTTATTCTTCTCTGATTCTAGAGTGAATTCTAGAGTTGCTTTTCCAAGAGGGACGGTTGTACTGAAGGGAGATTATAGCTGAGCCCTTCATACTTTATTCTTAGTAAGCGCAGCTGGAAAACCTTTAAGAAGAGAAGTTGCTAGCCTGAGAAAACAAGGAGACGAAGAAGGGGTTAGCATAGTGGAGAAAATGTGTCAGTGTGGTTATTATGGGATAGATTGGTAGGTCCTGTTTGCACCATCACACACACCTCAGAAAAGGTCAGAGATGCTATTCTGATCAAAGTTGCAGCTCCATGTTTAATGAGATATGTGCCTTTGATACCCCAACCAGGGCTCGAACTCAGGACCTTGCGCTTGCCAGGCAGACATGGCGCCACTGAGCTACACCTCCCACCCTTGTGCCTTTGATATCAATTCTCTTTCCAGATGTCAGTCCCTGGTTGACTTCTTGTGGAATCACCCAGAGTTTATTTGTCTTTTTTTTTTTTTTTTTTTGTACCGAGGATCGAACTCGGGACCTTGCACTTGCAAGGCAGGCACTGGGGAGGCAGGCACCGGAACCACTGAGTTAAATCCCCAGCCCTATTTGTCTTTGTTTTTGGTTTTTTGAGACAGGATCTCGCTATGTAGTCCAGGCTGGCCTTGAACTCACTATGTAGCCGAGGGTGGCCTCCAACTCCCTGTGATCCTCCTGCTTCAGCCTCCTGAATGCTGGAATTACAGACATGTGCTCACCCAGTGTTTGAAAGCTGAGAGTCCAATGTTTTCCTCTTAGAAAAATTGACACAGAATCTCTGAATTGGGGTCATGGAGTGTGCCTGTAATAAACACTTCAAGTGTTTCTTATTCTCTGTTGAAGAAAAAAGGGAAAAAAGCAGAAGAGAAGGAAACTGATAAGCCAAAGAAAACACAGGAAAGAATAAGGACACTAACTCCTTTGAGTGAGGACCTTGTTTGGTGCAATTCTTCTACGACCCGCGAGGACCGCACAGCTGGGCCTCTGTTCACACAGATATAAATAAGAGAAAATGAGATACTCTTTAAAACTCACTTAAGTGTGTGTTTTGTGTATGACCTCAAACTAAAGTCAATTCTTCTCTAGACACATGCAGACCACTGAGTTCAGGTTGCCTTGGAGAAAGACATCCTTAAGTTCTTTTCTTTTTGCAATTTGAAAAATGTTTTATTTTTCTGAAACATACCGGGTCATTTTTCCCTCTTTCATATTACTTACTAAAATTTGAGTATATGCTTATAACACATAATAAATACATTCATCCTGGGGAATTGGTGCATACAGAGGATCAAGATCCAAGATGCACATCACTAAGTACTTCCCTACTAACTGCACGGTGACGATCCCCACCTGCCTTAGGTCCATCGGCCCTCCACACTCCTAGCTGTGCCTGTGCCATGAACTTAGGCTGTGGCTTAACCAGCTGTGTCCAAAGTTTGAAGTTCCTATGCCAAGCTGCAGGGTGAGCTGTATTATAAATTGGGCAGAGGTGGACAGCGTATAAAAAACTAGATTTTAACCACTACTGTGACTGCTACAATGTTTCTTCCTGTTAAAAGGAGCTTTCGACTGCAATTAAAATAAATAACCAGAGAAAGGTCTGCAAACTACAGAGGATGCCTGTGATAATTCCAAAGGAAGAAAGCAATATTAACCACAAGTTTTCTTTTACCATAGGCATAGGAAGTGACCATGTACTTTTCGGCCCAGGCTTACTGTTCAACTGGTGAGTTGTTCTCTTTTGTGGCTTATTACGAAATGCATTTATTCATGGAAATAAATGTGCTGTGGAAGCCCTAATAGTAGCACACACATTGCTCTAAAGAATATAGGGATCCCTTTGAGCAGTTAAAAAGCTCAGCATGCCTGGCCTTTCACTTTCTGGAGTACAAATTTCACGATGTGACAAGCAAAATTATGAATCACAGTCACTTTATGAAAATGTAGGTGTGCACTCCATCCTGCCCTTCCCCAAGACCAGGTGCTTGCTTCATTTTAAAACTTAAAAAGGAACACTAGGGAAGGATCCCCAGCAGCTTGGGACAGCAGGGTGTTTAGTCATTTGCAAATGAAAGTGACAACATTTAGAAGACAATCCCAGTATTGAGATCCTCTCTAAGCACACACCTTCCGGCCTGGCGGTCTCCTCCCCAAGCCTGGTACTAAAGATTTCCATTCATATTTCTGAGCCTGTTTTCCATAAACCATTGGGATCATTTGAGCTCAGGCCTAAAGTTTGAGGTTTCTAGCCCATGTATAAAATCTTATCACGCCCAAATCGTACAGGTAGGATTCTGCTACGTGACTTACTAGGCCTCATGCCACATGAAAATTCAAGGAAACTTGTGTAAAAATGATAAAGAGTTTCAAAGCAGTGACAGCTAATCATCTCACCCAAAGTGGCCCCTTGTAAGAGGAGGGCCGGGTACAATTGTACAGGTCATGCAGCCCTGAAGCCTGCTGTCTTTAGGACTCTAGGAACCCAAATCTCCTGCTGCCCTGATACACACAGCAAGCCCGGTTAATTCAACTGGCCTAGCTGCTTCCGGTCCTGTGAGGAAATACACACAGAGAGGGATGCGTTTGACAGACCCGGGTCTGAGAGCATGGGGCGAGGGGTTGGAAGTCAGGCAAAACCTATACAGGTGCCAGGCACAGGGGAACCAAAATATTATGTGATGCTGTCCTCTGGCAGGCTTAGCACCTGCGGTCACTCCAGCTGTGCTCAGCTGCGTCACCATGGGCGATGCCAGAGCCCAGCAAGACACCCACAGGCTCCACACTCCACGAGGAGCATGTGGGGCTCTCACCTTCGAGGCAGCTGTGGCTTCCCCCGAGGGCTCAAGCTGGCCTGCCAAGATTAGACGCGGCCAATGGGTGTCCCTTGTCTTGGCCCAAGAGGGAGAATTTGTGCGGTCAAAGAGCACTGGGTAAGATTCCAAGGGATGAAGGAGGAGCGATCTCCAAAGCTAACAAGGCCTACTCAAGATGCTCTGGGCCAACACGGGGCACGGGGAGGAAAGAGGGCCAGAAAGAATCCCGCTGGGGGTGACTCACACCTCACACACCGGGCGTGTAGGGTGTACTAGAAAAATACGCCGGAGGAGACAAGTGCGCACCCTTAGCTCTGCTAGCGAGTCACTCTCGGATGTCTCCAGGCAATGGTAATAAGAGGAAGGAGGAAAGGAGGAAGGAGGGAGGGAGGAAGGTGAGAGGAAGGTACAGAGGGAAGGGCAGGGAAGACGGAAGGAGGGAAGGAAGGAAGAGGAACGGAGGCAGAGGAGGGAAGGGCGGAGGGGCTGGACGGAGCCGAGCCAAGAAAACCCTGCCCCACACCACCCCCCTGCTGGGTTACGTCCACTTCCGCTCTCTTACCTCCTTCCCATTGCTAGGGCTCAGGGCTAGTGACCCTATCCGCAGAAGCAGAAGGGCTTGCCCGAGGTGGGGAACGGGGAGAGGACAGGCTCCCTAGGGGCGCTCTGCCCTTCCTTAGCCAGGGCCTAGCCGGGGTCCCTGCTACCCGGGAGGGCGCCTCCCCTCGCTCACACCTGAGTTCACCCGGACGGCGGGGCGGGGCGCAGGGCACAGGAAGGGGTCAGTGCGGGCCTGGACCCACGCGCAGCCGGGACCAGCTCAGCAGCGCCTTCCCGGGGCGAGCCGCTCGCTCCCCACCGACCGGCTCTGGCGCCCGGGCCCGGCCCCCTGTCACTCACGCTGCTGGCGACCAATGGCGGGGCCGCCTGTCACCCCGGCCCCGCCCCCGGGGAGCGGGAGGGCGGGCGGTCGGCGGGCGCGAGAGAGCGAGGATTGAACTTTGCAGCCGAGTTGCGGCGGCCGCGAGGTGCCCGGCAGCGCGGCCCCGGCTCGGAGCGGGAAGCCATGGAGCCCGGGGCGCCGTGCGTTGCCCTCACCCTGTGCCTGTGGCTCTGGTTGGCGGCCTCGGGGGGCTGCCTGGCTCCAGGCCCCGGCTTGGTGGCGGCGGCGACCGCACGGCGGCTGGACGAGTCTCTGTCCGCCGGGAGCGTCCAGCGCGCGCGCTGCGCCTCCAGGTGCCTCAGCCTGCAGATCACGCGCATCTCCGCCTTCTTCCAGCACTTCCAGGTACGCGCGCCCTCGCCCCCGCCGGGATCCCCGCTGCAGCCCTGGGGGGCTCGGCGTGCGCACGAGGTCCTCCCAGCCTGGGCGCGCGCGCAAAGTTCTGCCCCGCTTTCCCTCCGCGTGGGTTGCACGATCTGGGCGCCCCAAGCCTCTCTCCTGGGCATCTGCTCCAAATCCCTTCTCCCCGGCTGCCAACGGGACGGGCGGCGCTCGCTCTTTCTGGGGGACGCAGAGCGCAGTTTTGCGGATTCTCAGGTGGCCGCGTGGGCTTGTCACTTTCCCGAGACCGCAGCGCGCGCAACTCGGCGACAGGGACGAGGAGTTCCGCCAACTCCGGGGCGCCCCGGGACGCTCCCCACCGGCGGCACGGACGCTCCCGGGGTCCCAGAGGCGCGCGCGGCTGCCCCAGTGTCACAGGTGCCGGGGCGCCGGACGCCTCGGACGCCTTTGAGCTGTAGCTTTCCTATCCGGCGGGTCTGGGGCTCGCTGGCCACCCCCGGAAGACCCAGCCAGGGCCCCCGGGCCGCCTTGTGCTCTCACGAGATGCGCAGTGCGTGAGCGGAGTGTTGGCGGCTGTGCGCGTCCCCTCGCAGCTCCAAGGGTTCCCTTACTAACCGCCGGCTTAGAGGACCGGCAGCGGCAGGGGAAGGGTGGGGCTCAGGACGCAGGGGCCGGGATGTTCCGGGGAAGAATCCCCGGGGCCAGGGGCTCCCCCAGCCCGAGTAGGTTGTTCCAGCTTGAGGGTGCAGAAGGTGTGTGTGTGGGGGGGGTGGGGGTGGCGAAGGAGGCTCCTGGAAGAGCACTCCTGGCGCCCTTGGACCTGCACCGAAGCGGGTGGGCGCCCCGAGCAGCTCCCGGACTCCGAGGGCACAAGGCCCTGGAGTCATCCACTTGCGGGCCTCCTCCTCTGCTGCTCGCCTCTCCCTTGAGCTACCCACCTGTTCCAACAGCCCAGCTTCTCGCCCCAGGGAAAACTCTGGAGGCTCCCAGGTGAGGCTGGAACTGGAAGCAGAGCCGCATCTCCGGCCGGAAGAGGCCCAGTGCAGTAGAGGGGGCTCAGCAAAGGAGGGGCTCCCGGAATCAGGGAACCGAGCAGCCGGAACTGGCTCTGATCAGTTCTGGAGGGTGAAGTTTGCGGTGTCTGTCCGCAGCCCTCGGGGTGGCCTTCCCCGCCAGTGTGGCAGAGCTACGGACGGCTCACAGTTGGGATCTAAAGAGCTGAGGCCCACCGGTGAACTTTGCGAACCTTTGTTCAGAATCAAACAGTGTCTGTCAGGAGAAAATAGAAAAGGACACTCAGCCTCCTTCAGGGCCTGCGGGGAAGGGAAACCCGACGCTTACCTCTGCAGCAAGGTAGCAGGACATCGACATCCAGGCAGGCGCCTGTCCCCACACACCTGACTCAAATCCGCCGCCTTACCCCAAAGTCCCTCTCCCGAGAAGATGCCACGCGGGTGTTTGAACAACACCGCAACACAAGGCAGAACCCACCAGCCCATCTCCAGAGAGGACGAGGATGTCCCTCCCTCCACCTTTTTATTGTCAGTTGCAGTGATTTACTTGTTTTACAGTTGCAGCGGCTACAGAAGCAGTTTAGATCGAGCCAATTCCCGTGAAAGGCTTTTCTCACGGTCTCTTGGCTTGATTTCTCTTCCCAAGAAAAACTGCTGACAGAATACACGTTGCCAGACAATCCCGATTACATTTTAATTAGCTCGGGTGAAACAGGCTGCAAATTACTCAGTTAGGACCTAATAACTGCTGGGCTCTTTTTTTTTTTTTTTGGTTTTGTTTTCTGTAATTACTTGCAAAGCCATTCTTGGAGACTTAACCCTAACCTGGTAGTGCCTATCTGATTTATCTAAATTGCAGGGATTTGGCTTTCTTAGAACTTGAAAAGACAGCAACACATGCTCCTTATACAGCAAAGCCCCAGGCTTCCCTGGGGCCCGGGCCAGCCCTACCTTGTTGGATAATTGGAAGCGTGGTGGAGGGATCGGCCTCGGGATGTATGAATGGGCGCAAGGCTGGGCTGCAGGAAGTCTCAGGAGGAACTACTGGATCAGTCCACTCCCTCCACACCTCCTGCAGGGGACCCAGCAGGTGCTTGCATCCATCTTTACTTGTACAGTTCTAGGCCTCTTTTAAAGATCTTTTTAAGGATGCGAGCAAGTTTGCCTCCATCCAACCTGGATGCCAGCCAGATGTGTGAACTCCCAGGCATGGAAGCTGCTAGGGAGGACCCAATCTATGCCCTCCAGGTACACTCAGGGACTCGGAGTCCTCGGCGACACTGACCAGCTATGGTCCACCTGGGATCTAATCATCACCACCTCAGTCCCTTTCCGGTTCCCTGTACTGCCCAGCCTGGCAGCAATTGGAAGGGAGAGCTGTAGACAGATGTGCACATCTGGACACAGTGGCTGTCACCCTCCAGGGCACCAGGGACTCAGTACTAGAGCCTGCAGGTGAGAGTGATGATGGCGGAGATCTGATTAGCCCACACTGCCACTCAGCTGGAGGGTTAGACTTGAACGCCAAAGCACGCTGCCCCTTCTGGTTCATCAGCGTGATATGAGCGTGCGATCACCGTCCCAAGGTGGTTGGGAACCAGGGCGTTGTTCTTTGATTGGTGGAATGAAGAAGGCTGTGGCAAGGATGTAGGGAGCTGGGCTTTGGGGCCAGGCTGGTCCACTCTGTATTCTGCTTTGTGGATAAGGATCCTGGGCACAGCCAGCGACCTTCCTGAGTGTCAGCAGCTCCTGGGCCCAGTGGTAGATGGTGACCTAGTCTGGCAGGTGAAAGCAGAGAAGAGAATATACTGGAGTCTGTCCAAGTCACTGTCATTAATGAGCTCACACCATCTGGAAGATTGCTAAGTACCAGACTTTCTTCTGGGCCTTCCACAAGTGCTATCACTTTGTTATTATTACTAACTTGTATTTATATAAGCATGTGTTCATGGTACATAATGATTGCATTCATTGTGGGGAGTTGGTGCATGCACATAATACATCTTAATTCTTTAATGTCCTCCCCTCACAGCTACCATCCCTCCATCTCTTGGTCTGTTTCCCACTTGAGAAAGACCTGTCTCCCCATTTCCCATTATCTGTCTTTTATTTTGCTCTTTATTTATACTTTGGATCTCTCATATTGGAGAAACCATGTGATATTTAAGCTCGTGTGTCTGATTCATTTCACTTAACATTATGTTTTCAAGGTGCATCCATTTCCTTGTATGTGACTCAAGTTGATCCTTCTTTATGGCCAAGTAATACTCCATTGTATATAAATACCATGCTTTCTTTATCTATTCATCTCATCTGTTGGTGGGCATATAGGCTGCTTCCAAGATGTAGCTATTGTGAGTTGTGCTTCTATAAACGTAAGTATGCGTGGATCTCTGTAATATGAAGACTTTAACTCTCTTGGGAACATACCTAGAAGGTTTCTAATTTCGGGTTTTTCAGGAATCTCCGTAGTGATTTCCATAGCAGTTCAAGTACCATCCGTGTAATCAGCACAATAGCACGTGAGGCAGGTACTAGTTTTTATCCTCTTAGAATAGATAAGGAAACATTCTGAGAAGACTGGTTAGTCACACAAGACTGCGAGACAGCAGAGTTCACAGCAAGGGCAGCTTCTAGTTTTTAATTTTGGTTCTGTTTTTAGAATTTTATTGTTTAAGTGGCTAGTTTACTTCAGGGTTGAAGTAATCTAATTTTCAGGTCCTGGTGCAAACTGAAAACATGATACCTGTTTATTTAGATGGTAAGAGATGTTTGTTCAGGGAACTAAAATACAATTTTTTTGTTCTACAGCCCTTCTGTGTGTCTCCTGCCTCTCCTTCCCTCCCTCCCTCCCTCCTTCCTTCCTTCTTTCCACTACTGTGGATTAAAACCAGGCCTTTGTACTGAGCTCCATCCCCAGACCGTTTTAATTTTTTTCAATTTTGAGATGTTAGGGGTCCTCCCTAAGTCACTGCATTGCCCAGGCTGTGCTCCAACTTGTGGTCCTCCCGCCTCAGCCTCCCGGAGTGCTGGCGTTAGAGGCATACAACGCCAAGCGCCATCATGTTTTCAATGTGCTGTGCCATTCAATGTTGCTCTCAGCAGAGACATTGAAAAATTATTAGGATGAAGTCCGCTGTTCATCTTTACATTGTGCAGGGCTGGCTTTACAGGGACCTAGGAGAGCGCTTAGCTTGGATGCAGAACCGCCAGCATTGCAGGGCTGGCATTCCCTGCTTCACCCTGGGAGGGCACCTCGAGATGGCCAGTAGGGACAAGCGAGGTGAGTTTGGAAGGGGGAAGAGGCGAGTCCCCTGAGTGCGTGCCTTCTAGGTACTTGCAAGGGCGGTGTGCAGGTGCTGGGGACCTGGGCCCATGCATGGCCCTGGCCTGGCAGGGAGGTGAGCCAGGCACCTCCGCTTCCTGTGACCGGATGTGCTCCTGCAGCCTTCTCTGCGCTCTCCCCGGGCAGCCAGCCGCCTGGGGCGGGGTAAGCTCGGAGTCGGCATCTCTGCTGAGTTTTGGACTCCAGTGGCCACCCTGCAGACACCATGGTGCCCGGCATGGGCCGCAGTCACGGGGGAGGGCAGGGTACGGGCAGCAGGAGGCTGGTGGGGTCTGGGAGGCCAGGGAACGGCAAAGTGAGCAGCGAAGACTTGCCCTGGAGAGGGGAGGGTGCCCTGGGAAGCCGTCGCCCGCTCTGAAGCTGAGGCGGGCTCCAGGGCTCACACAGAACACACGCCCTGGAGACTGAACCGTGAGCGACTGCAGCATGGTCCCTGCAGAGCCCGGACCTGCGGGGGAGCCTGGAGCATGCGGGTGTCCGCAGGGCCCCCAGTCACCCACCCGGGAAGCCGGTCCTGTTCCTTGTGTGTCCCGGGGCAGGGCCCTTGGAGGGCGTCAGCATGCTCAGGGTGGGGCCCTAATAACATCACCGTGCTGCCCTGGGCGCCCTTGGGACACAGCCACTCTACTGCAATTCCCCTCCCC